TTTGATTTCCTTTAATTACCGCTGGCGATGAGAAAATCAGCAGAGGCGCCCATGAAGTGAGCCCGCTCCAAGTAAGTCACGGAACGCTAGCTGGTGGCTGCACGGCGCTCATTCAGTTCAGCCAACAGACCGTCAGTCAACACAAGTGTTGACGCTTTGCAGATCGGGCTTAAAGGACACGAGACGCACCCGCGCTGGCGTTTCATTCAGTGGCCACTGAGCAGGAAAGGAGGCTGTCTCTTCTGAGGAGGCGGGGCAGCCCCCATACAGACACCTGCTTCCGCCGGCCCCAAAAGCCAACCCCGGAGGCCCGCAGCGGCCAGCTCCAGGAGCCGCCGTGGGAGCGCACCGGCCTCCGCAGCCCCGACAGGACAGCAGCCACGGAGTCACGCGGAAGTGCGCGCAGGCAGCCGCCTCACCTCAGCTTCACACAGGACTTCCTCGCTCCGCACCTTCGTGTACACGCCAAACTGAAAAAGCCGAGTCCCTTAAAATAACTATGGAAAGGACACGGGAAAATACGTCTCGAATGTAATCGGAAGCTGGTGTTTGAGACTTCAGGGGAGAAAAAGGTGTCCGAGCAGGGCAGTGAGGGGCACCAGGGGCTGTGGAGACGGTCTCGGGGCCGCAGGGCCCCACACGGGCGAGCGAAGACTGCCCCGAAGTGAGCAGTGAGGTCAGAAATCAATGATCAAAGGAATTTTACAAGAAAATTTGAAAAGAATATAATTGTGTTATGTCGACTGATACAAACATTTCATTTTCAGCTTCTTTGGTGCTATGTAAAGAAGCTAATTGTGGGCAAAATGTATAAATGCATTAATTTGTTTTCATTATTTAATATCAAAATTATAATTCATAATATAAATTTAATAAATGACATTAACTATTAATAAGTAGTGGCAACAGAATCACTGCATAGGCTTGTATTAATATTAATGAAAGTGTCAGTGAAGTCAAAGATCTTGTGATGAATTTATGGTAGATTATCATGTTTTCCGATGACCCGATTAAAATATGCCTCATAGCTCGTTTTTAGGTATTTAAGAGAATGGATATTGTTTACCGCTAATTATCCTGTTACGAGGAATGAAAAGGTAAAACTATAAAGGTGAACTAGTATGTGACTCTGATGCCCAAACTTCAGGAGAATCCCAACCTGAGGACGTTTCCCGCGTGTGCACCGAAACGCGAGAACAACCCCGGCACCGCCAGCAGCTGTCCACGGACCGCGAGGAGCCGCGGCCGGAGTCTCTCAGCAGCAGGACACGACCCGCTCGACCACGCAGCGCGACCCTGCACGCCCACGCGGCGATCCGAGAGGTCGTGTCAGGGAAGACGCGGCCGCGAAGAGAGCAGGAGACTTTGGCAGCATGAAACGCCGCGCCGACAACCCTCCAGTTCAGCACGACGCCAGGAAAGGGGCGTGTGTCTCCACAGAAGAGGCGGACACCCCGATGCCCCGACGCCCCGCGCCCCGATGCCGGCTCCACACCGCCCTGTCAGCAGGATCTGAGGCCCAGTGTTTTATAGGCGCTCAGTGCATGTATCTGCTGGCTGTTGGTTTGGATAAATAATCAAGTGTCCCAATAGGCAAACGAAGAGTCGGCCAAAAACCGCCTAAGTGATAGTCTCTCTCCTAGACTTTGAAGTAAATATTGTCTTGAACTGTTGCTTCCGCAAGTGTCTACTAAAGTAGCACAAGCTACGTGTGCGCCACCGTGTTCGCGTCGTCCTGCACTCCAACCTCGATGTCATTTCCTACTCTCAGGTCTCTCGATGCCCCGTTCTGATAGCTCTTTGGATTTTCTGGTGCCCTGCACTCACTCTGTGCAGGTCTCAACTGCCCTATACTTTTTAAACTGCATTTTGATCTTACCCATTTTTGGCTACTAAGAATTATTTTTTCTTGCAAATTGACTTGCTTTTTATGCATGTTTGCTCCCATGTTTTCAATTTTAATATTATATATATATTTAATATGAATATTATTTGATTTGATGACACCTGCCGGCTTTCTTCCGGGTGCATTTCACTCATGATACATTGTTTTAAGATTTTGTCATAAAAGAAATTGTAAGCTCATGTGCAGTGCCAAGGTCTGTGTTTACACCTAGGAACTGGTGACCCAGGCTTTCTGGGACCATGAGGACTTACCATTAGGAACTAATCCGAATTATAACCACTTAGCCCCCTTGGAAAGACCAGAGGAATTCTGTTATCATTCTGATCCAAAACAGTGACTTACACAAGTGACTCGTACTCGAGGGAGCGTACGACTGTCCATAACCCAACCGATGGTCAGTTAATGGACCGAACTCGTGACTGCCGACCTGCTCCCTGCGGTGTGTGCATGGACTTGGAGACGCGGGGCTCCTGCAGGGCACAGGGGTTCAGGGAAGTTTCACTTCCCACAGGTGCCTGGCATACTCCGAGTATAACAGGCTTGCCAATACAGATGCAAGTGAAATTAATGGAATAATCAAAATAACAGTGGAAAATAATTAATTACAAGAAGAGATACATGACAGGCTCAACAAAAGCAAAAATTGATCCTTTGAAATCAATGACCTTAGAGCTCAGGTGGAACTAAGAGGAGCAGTTCTCAGCCAGCACTGGCAGGCGAGCACCGTTCAGGCAGCGACAGAGGTAAAACAGCAAAGGCAGCGTGTGTGCAGATGGTAAGGAAACACCATGAGCGATGCTCCTGGTGCCACCACTCTGAAAACTCTGTGGAATATGCGTGAGGCTGAGGCTAGGCCTGCCCGAGAGCACCCACTCTTTCTTCTAGAGTTGTGCTCATGATAAACACTTGTAACGTGAACCTCGACAGAATGTTCACACAAGCATTGCTCATAGTGCCAAGAAAACAGAAGGTCAAACGTGTATGTAAAAATCGTGGTGGCTTCATGTGATAAAACGGGAGCCATAGCAAAAATAACGCAGAAGCTACTGCGAGACGCCATTAGCGCTAATGAATGTCTCAGATATATTGTCGGGCTATTTTGCAACTTTGCTATTATGCAAATTACAGATGAATACCGTATAATACTATTATGTAAATTCAGTAACAACCAAAATTAAGCAATATGCCATTTGGAGATATATAAATACAGGGTGGAATTATTTTAAAAAGCAAAGGAATTATATTCACAAAACTCAGACTGTGGTTATCTTGGGGACCCAGACAAAGCTCTCGACTGGAGTGGTGGGCACAGCTAGTGTCCAGACAGAAACACCGCCTTCTGGACGGGCAGTGGGCACTGGGTTCCTTACACCAACGTGCCCTGCGACTTACAAGCCTACTAAACTGTGTAACTGCCAGATCGCTGTTGAAGGGCATTCCATACGAGCTGCAAAGGGAAGACCCCGGCGGAGGAGGACGCGCCAGTGGGACCGGGGAGACGTGTTTCCTGAAACCCTCACCTGAGGCCTGGGTGGCCCCGCCATGCAAACTCAATCTTCCATAGCAGCCCGGGTTTGGCGCCCGTAGAAGGCTTCCTGGCATCACGTACAAGCTGTTCCCAAGAATTTTCTTGGCAAGAAGTAAACAAATTGCTCAGTCTGGAGCCAGCATAGGCCATTGCACAACATGAAAGTTCCTCAAGACCCCGCGGGGCAGCTCTGTGAGCCCATCTGTGGCTCTGTGGCGCAATCGCCTCCCTGGGCTCTGAGCAGCCCCAGCAGCCCCAGCTCCGCCGCCAGGAACCCTCCGCTTCTCCCAGTTCTGCCACAGGCCTCGGCGGGACCCTCTGTCTGAAGGCCAGAGCGTGTCTTCTCTTGTGGGGCCCAAGGTGGGCCCGCCGGGCCGCTGGCCGGCCACTCTTCACAGGGCGGCCAGTTAGCATGGCTTCGCCCCAAGGCTCGCGCGGCTGTGGCTGGCTAGGAAGCACAGGAGTGACGTCCCCTCCTCCCCTTCCCCTTTTAGCTCTATCCCGGCGCCATGACTAAGGAGGATTTGAAGCCTGATTTGTGGAATAGGGCGTCTTGTTCAGGAAAGAAAACAGGAAGCTTCTGCTGCCGCTACGCACTGGCACCGAGACACAGTGGGTGCAGACGGGGCGCGGACATACGGAAGAGCCCTGCGTAACTCCTCGCATGCAGCGTGGCTCTTGTGTTCAGGTAACGGGAGAGCTTTGTCTTACCCATCGCTCCTTCCCGCCGCATCTCCCCTCCCCCGGGTAATGTTCCACAGAATGACAACTGATGCACGTGTGAAACTACCCTCGGCGTCACACAGTCCAACTCTCAACTCTCTCTCTATCCAAAGATGTGGAAATAAAGCTCTAGTCTCTGCACTTCACAGAACTCAAACCTGGACTGGAAAATCACCTTTCCCAGAAAGCTCGAGGTGACTATTCGGGTTATGAATACCTGACGTGGCAGGGACGGGTCAGAAATCGCCCCGTTCTAATTCTTGTGGAAAGACAGGTACTCGCTATAGCGCGTCTTTTGCTCAGGAGAAAGAAGAGGCACAGTCCGGAGCTGCGAGGCCCAGGCCGTGAGTTCAGTCAGCATTCCCACGCGGTGCCGCGGCGGAACTGCTCGCTGAGCGTCACCTCTGGAGAGCCCAAACGTGCTCAGAGGCACCCTGGCATGGCAAGAGGGCGGCCTGCAAAGCCAGGGAGAGAAATGCAGACAAGACACGCCCGCCACGAAGTTGCGCGCCACGGAGTCGCTCGCCACAGAGTTGCACACACCGAGTCGCGCGCCACAGAGTGGCGCCACGGAGTCGCATGCCACGGCCAGGACGGAGCAGCCGGGACCACCTCAGCCGCCACCACAGTTCTAACGGCCGCGCCTTCGGGATGGAAGCAGGCGCGTTGCCCCGAGCTGGGGGACGTCGAAGTCCTCAGGCCCCCCCACGCCGCGGGAGGCCCTGCCCGGTCACGGGCTCGGAGGAGGGGCCACACGGTCACCCCTCGGGAAGTACCAGACAACCGAGTCTGAGCCCGAGGAGTCGCCCGCCCACGCAGTGGAGCAGGACGTCGGCCGCTTACCTTTGTGGTGGCTCGCGCTGGAGACAACCTTCCCCCACAGGGTGACGACAAATATTATGATCAGCAGTTTCCCTTTCGTTGCTTTCTGTAAGTATCTCTTACTCATCCTGCAACAACACAAAAAACAGCCTCAGCAGGTGAAGTCGTTACTTTACCGTCGCGTGACATGTAAAACTCTTCATGACGCCCGGCACACTCAGCTCCCGAAAGTCTGCGCTCCCTGGAATTCAAACGTCATTTACGTTGTATCAACGAACAGAAAAATTAAGTTTTCTGAACAAAACACCCTGAAGTGAAGATGGAAGAAATAAGGGACCCGGCCGCAGGCTCCCTTCACATAGCCTAACGCAGCGGGGAGAAGAAACGCTTTCTGTGCCTACGCCGACAGGGGCGGCTAACTCCTGAAGCCCAGCGCACGGCTGTGTGCGTACTCTGCCAACACGTGACTTATTCTCCTTTCTTTCTGCAGATTTCTTCTCTGTTGTCGAGTCAGATGATTAAACAGTTTAGGTAAGTGTGCTAGATGAATTCCTGCACAGAAGAAAGTCCTTTAGAATCTAGTATTCCGAGTGTGCTTTTAAAAAACTCACCAGCTACTACTTACTTATTGTGCATCGACGTTTTAATCTTGCTTAAAAGCAGAATGAAAATGCCAAGTTAACATTTTCAAGTTCAGCCCACAAAAGTGAAGGAAAGGAAAAACATAATGAATAGTTTCCTACCAAAACAAAGGTCGGCACCCACACAGCCCAGCGCTTCACACATCATCTCCGTCGTTTCTCAGGACGCATCTGGCCCAAACCGTGTTTGAAACGACGGTGTGCGGAACCTCGCCCGAGTTGGCGTTTACCGGTAGATGAGGAGTTTAAGCCCAGAATCGCCCACTTGTAAAGCCCTTGCGTTAACGCCCTCACTGCTAACGGTGACGAGACCCGTGTAAGCGCAGCCTGCACTTACCACGCCGACGTCAAGGAGACCGAGCAGCGCTCCCGCGCGGCCATCGCGGCTCAGGCCCCGCGGGCTCCACCCTATCTGACCCCGAATGCTGCCCGCGGGGCCTGCTGCAAGCTCAGGACGGCGCCTCCTGCCTTAGCTGGTTGCTCTCCTGCCCCCATTCCTAAGGTGCCTTTCCCACTACACCCCGTTACACCTCTCCTCCGAAACACGCCACCCCCAAACAGGACTTGGCAGTAGCGATGACGACTGTGCCGTGGAGAAAAATGCAGGGAGAATTCACACATATTTAGACCTCTGGCCCTGGGGAAATGGTGCACACTCCCGAGACAGGGCAGCTGAGCCCAGGACCTACAGCCGACAATCGTGTGCTCCTGGGCACAGTGAGGCGGGGACGGTGCGTGTGAAACGCCTGTCCCTGGGCGGCATGTGCATGGCGAGGTCATCACGAGATGACTAACACTCCGTCACTTGGAGAAAATGCCTGACTCCCAAGTGGATGAGAAGCCAGGTGACCCAAGGACGTTTCAGTGGCGTGAACACCTCAAGGCTCACGGACCTTGGTCGGTGACAGACAAGATAAGAAGTGGCAGGTGTTTGATTAGGTTGGCTTAAAAGTCCAGCTGTCTGCCTTCTAGCTGTGTGGCTTTGCAGTCATTACTGAGCGACCCAGAGTATTTTCATTGTAAGGAAAACGAAGATAATAGTATCTGCCTCAGAGCATTGTTGGTCTGAAGACTAAAGGAGATGGCCTGTATTTAGAGTTAATCGATTATTATCGAATGTTAACTGTTACCGTCACCGTGTGGGTGTGCACCGGAATCTCCCTACCTCTGTGAGGTATCCGTCCCCAGAATGTTAATGCAGTATTACCAACGGTGGGTAAATATATTTAGGAAATTCTGGGTTCAGTGAATTTAATCAAATGTTTAAAAAGGCCTATTTGAGTGTGCAGCATTTTCCAGCAAATTTTCTCTACAAGTAAAACAGGGTATTAAAGTTCTCAGAGAAATGCTCTTGAGTTAGTGCTCCTTCAGCACAACAAATATCCTTCTTAAATCTTCCACTTTATCGCTTTTGCTCATCCAGCACTCGCACGAGCTTTGTTATAAGGTTCTGTTTCCCCCTTTTCTTCAATCATTCGTCTCCCCTTCTGCGTTCAATCCCTGAACCTCATTGTTCTGCAGATCATATAACAGAATGAACAGTTTAGCAAAACTCTTCTGACAAGAAGAGCTGCTTAGCATAATTCTTGGTAATAGCTTTCCCACAGCAAATAGGCTCTACTGCAAGGTCAACGACCCACTGTATTTTCCATGCCATCCTGCACCCAACAAATGGGATGACAGAAATGACAGCTGGTCAAGCTCTTCACCAGACATATGGAAAAGCAAACACTCACAAAGTCACACACTGTCAAACTGAGGGAGGAAGGAGGACGCAGGTCAACATTTGCAAGTCTGTGAGGACCTCTGCCTTCTCCTTCTGGGTTCCCTCGCCACCCCGCACTCTTCACACCTGTCAACAGCGCTTTCCGAATCTCTCTTATTTGCAGCCTCACTACAATACTGCAGTTCAAACTAAAATTTCTCACAGGCCAAAGCTTCCTAGCTAGACTTTGTGCTGCCGATAGTGTCAGCTTCTGGAACCCAGAGCAGGCTCTCGTTCAGGCCTTTTGTTCACGACTGTATCTGCAGTACTCGGTACCTAGAGTCTGGTAAGGATTGTTGAGTGCACGCAATGCACTCACTCAGCGGTGGAACTAGAATCGCGATTGCCAAGCCACAACCCATAGCAGGGTATAAAAGTCTGCGTGGTGAGCTCCTGTTTCTCGGGACTCTCGGGGCTCCTGGAAGACACCCCATGCTCAGTCTGGAGGAAACCAGCCAGCCATCTCTGTCCCAGCCCTGATATCTTGCATTTATTCATCGGATTCATAATCTAGACCTTGATTTTCTTCTCCCTCCCATTAGCCTGCAGTTCCCTGAGGGCAGACCTGACCGCTGCTGCAGCCCTCGGGACGACGCCCACACGCCAGCCTAGCAGTGTGCCATCAGGGACAGCATGAGTGTTTCGGGTTCATAGTCAGGACAAAAGAAAACAATGCTTTTTAAACACTGTTTTGTTGATTCTTTAAATTTAAACATTAAACAGCAGCTTTTCCTCTTTCTTAAAGAAGCACGATAATGCCCAGGGATGACCACACCATGTTTTATTCTTTCAGCTGCCAATGGGCTTAGGGCGATGCCCATGTTTTGGCTCGTGTGAATAATGCCACCACAAACGGGCGTTGGCGATGCCTCGGGACCTGGGTTCAGTTCCCAGGAGAGGGATGGCTGATCCTGTCCTGCTTCGGTCTCCGCACTCTCGTCCACGGTGGCTGTCCCTTCTTACAGTCCCCCCAAGGCTGTGGGCGTTCCAGTTTCCCACCTCCTTGCTCACACCTGTCGCCTCTTCGGCACATGACAACACAGGAGCAGCGGGCAGCTGTGAGGTGTGAGGCTCGGTGCCTTCGGTGCTGTGGTGATGCTGGCGCCTTCCGCACGCCCGCTGGCAGCTGCGGCACTTTGCACAAATGTCTACTTAGAGCCTCTCGTTTCAAGCCTTCATTTTACTCGTGGGCGGTAGAAGTTCCTTATATATCGTAAAATTAAACCCTTAACATTTGACTGCGTGTCCTATCATTTTCGTTAACAAACCCACCAATTCATGCCAGCTTTCATTTCTATGCTTTTGAAAAAGACACTAACATTGACTTCTCTATAGTTATGTTTGTTTAAAGAAAGAGAAGCTTAGAATTTCACCGAGGATGAGAGAGACTAAAATAATAAAATCAACATCTGCTTTTTAGCGTACTGCTTTCTGCACATGCCCAGGAGAGATGGCGAGAAAATGTGTCCTTGCTCTACTGGCCAGGTTTGAGGATGCCCAGTGTTCTGGTTTCAAATGTAGCAAATTTAGCCTAAAACGACGAGGAGGAGCATGAGATTTGAGCCAGGCATGGAGTGTGGAGACTTGGCCACATACGAGCTGTTAGCAACATTCTATACAACTTCTCGAAGCCCTCTTTCCTCTGCCATAATAGGTGGCTAATAGTAACACCTGCCTAAAAATAAAAATGTTTGAGTGAAAAGTGAGCTAACTTATGTGAAGGGCTGGGCAGAGATTCCAACACACAGTAAGAAGTGGAGAAAAGTCTGTGTGATTCACTCCTTTGCCCAACAAGGAAGAGCCAGCCGGCGGGGCCCCATGTCTGTCCACATGCACCACAGCCACCAAAACCACATGCCTGCACGCCCCGCCAAGGCCTCGGCTCCTTGCCCACGGCCACAGCTGAGGACGGTACGTGAGACAGAACTGCCGTCTCTTCACGCTTCAAGACATAACCGACATCCTTTCTCGGCGTTACTGCTTGGGCCCAATCTCCCGCCTTGCCATTCCTTAACAAATTGTGTTTGTTATGAATTATCTCTTCCCGGATCCAAATCTTGTCCTCCCAAAAGAAAACAAATCAACGGCATAAGCAGAGAGGCCACATGGTGTGGTCCAAGTGAGATGTCCCACCAGACCACCTGTAACAAGCCATGTTGGTGCCAGACAATGATCCATAAGCAAATCTGAGTGTAACTGAGCTGAACTTTAGCGTGGAATGAAGTTATTTCATTGGCACTAAAGCTCGCTTATACAATTTAATAGCGAGTGTGCGTGTCACCAACCCTTGCCGATGTGATGAAAGAGAGGACTGGGTGGCTGAAATCTAGACAACACAAACGCCACGTCGTATTCAATCTCCCGGCCTGCAAAGCTTCAAGACACAATGCCAGTCGTGAGAGGAGCTGGCACTAGCACGTCGACGCCACGTGGCGGGGCAGAGACGGTGACGGACACGCCCCAGAGCCCGTTCCCGAAGGCCGCAGCGGCGACCGGCAGAGGTCGCCCTGCCGAGCACCCAAGGCCCTCACAGAGGCGTCTCAGCCTCCCTCGTCAACAGAATGCCTCTTGTGAAAGCGAAACTCACGGTCATGCAGTCAGTTCTAAGCATTTGTCTACTAGGTGACCGTGGGGACTGATTAGGCGCCCTGTTTCTTCTACTCGAGTTTCGCTCTTCTCGCGGGAAGGGAGGGCACGGAAGCGATGCCCACTGCGTCTCCTC